AGGAAAAAAGTGAAAGTAGAGGAAAAATGGAAACAAGGCTTTTGCACATGGGGAGGAGGGGGCTTGAGGGGCGATAAGACAAAATTCATTTAAAAAAGACTATCTTGGGCAATGTAACAAGTTCAAGGCCAGCCTGGACTACTCCTGCTTCAGCCTCCCAAGTGCTAGGATGACAAGGCATATATGCCACCACCAGGCCCTGCAGCTTTTCCCCCAAACAAGTGCTCCTCCACCGAGCTGCACCCCAGCTTCATCTTCCTAAATGGCAACCCCAGCCCTAGAAGTCACACTGTCTTCATGGGGCCCTTGTCTGTAATCCCAGAACTCGGGGAGCCTGAGGCAGGAGGGTCACAAACTGTAAAATCAAACAGGTTGGAGATGTAGTTCAGTGGGAAGGAAGTTCCTGGGCTCAATCCTCCGCATCATACAAAAACAAGACAAAGGTCCAGGATTTAGCTCAGTGGCACAGAGGCAGGTCCTGAGTTCGATTCCTGGTACCAAACGAAACCAGAAATACAAGGAGGCCTAGCACCACAGCAGACTTTGGGGCACTCTCCACCCTCTCGACAAAGTCCCCAATGAGGGACACGGCAGTACAGGTGTTCCAAACACTGACAGGAAGCTTGAATCAATGTGAGAGGGAACACTGGACCTCCACTGCCTTCAGGTCCAACCTCCCTAGTCTGTCCCTAGGCGGGGCCTCAGCAGTAACTTCTCCTGGCCAAGTGACCACAGCCTCAGGCCCAACGCACCTCCCCTTCTTCCCGGCCCAGCACAGCTGACGGACTGGGCAGCTGCTCAGGGCGAGCTTCCAGCACAGACCTTGTCTGCCTACCCAAACAGGGTGCTATTAACACCTGCTGCCCTCCCTGCTCGCCTCTGATAACCTTACCCAGGAACAGACCTGGGGCCAGACGTCCAAGGTAAAGCTGGGAACGTGCAGACCTGCTAGAGGAGGGAAAAGCCTTCCGACCCATTCAAAGGTTTTGCGGAAGATTTGAGACCACCCCCGCCCAGCCTAGACTCAAATATTCACACACACTGGCTTCAGGCTAGGCGTGGGGGTACACGCAAGCCAGTAATTCCAGCACTTGGGAGGCTGAGACAGGAAAGTCACTGCGAGTTTGAAGCAAGCCCGAACTATACAGTGAAACCCCGTCTTGCAAAGGGTTAACGACTGTGAGAAGCTAATTCTTGCCAAGGGAATGGAGAGGGTTTGGATAGTCTCAGCTGGAGTGACTTACTCTAGAAGCTCTTCCAGGGGGGCTGTCGGCCCTGGAAGGGCTGTCGGCCCTGGAAGGAAGCCAGGCAGGCATTCTCAAAACCCTGGCTCTCCAGAGCCTGGCTTATCAACCCCACACCCAATCTCATGGATAAATTTACCTAGAGACAATCACCGTGGGTTTTTTTGTCTTTTTTTGGTGGTACTGGGGACTGAACCCAGGGCCTCTGCACTGAGCTACATGCTCAGCCCTTTTTTATTCTGAGTTGGAGTCTTGCTAAGTTGCTAAATTGTCCAGGCTAGGCTTAAATTGGCCATCCTCCTGCCTCAGTCTCCCTGAGTGCTGGGATTACAGGTGTGCGCCACCATTCTCTGTACAACCATCACAGAGGCCAGGAAACCAAAAAGGTGAGGAGAGTTACATAGTATTCTATACATTCATAAGTACTGAGCGTGGTCTGTGGGTGCTAGTTAGAAATTCAGGAGCTAGCAGGGCCTAGTGGCCCACCCCTGTAATCCCAGCACTTGGTAGGCTGAAGCAGGAGGATCTGATGCTTTGATGCTAGCCTAGGCTACTTAGGGAGCTCAAGGCCAGCCTGCACTGCAAAGGGAGACAGTGTCTCAAAGAAGCAAAACAAGGGCCAGGGATTTTAGCTCAGTGGCACCTGCTTGTAAACACAAGGGCCCGAGTTTGTTTGATCCATCCCCATACAACAAAAAACAAACAAAACAATAAACCCAAAAGAAATGCAGGCCAGTCCCACACGACCCAAATTTACATTTAAGTAGGGGCTCCAGGTAATTCCCCCACTAACTCCAGACTGACCAACAGGACTCAGGACTGAAGCAAAACGGTGGGTCAGGCGTGTGCATTTCTCACCAAGTCAAGCGCCCCCACTCCGGCCAAGAGGCAGGGTGAGAGGGCTCTGGAGGATTCCCCACTTCGGGGACTGAGGTGGGCCAGGCTCTCCGACTTTGGCAGGAGCAAGCTGGGTCTGCCCAGGCTATGGCCTGTGCTGTGACTGTCCCACTGAACACCCAACACAGGCTGGAACTGAGCTCCTAGATCTGGTCCAGAAGCCTCTTCCCCGCTGGAGATTTAGCTCAGTGGTTCTGCGGCCTGCCTTACAAGCGGAAGGGCCTGAGTTCGATTCCCCGGAACCAAAAAGAAAAAGGAAGGGGATTTGCTGTGGGCTGCCAAGTCCCCCACCTCCCAGGCCAAAGCGAGCAGCGTCGGGAGTTGCCTATACAAACACTCCTGGCTATCACTATAAGGCTCACCCCAAGCCAGCCCCACCTCCCGCCCCAACAACAAAGGGGGCGAAGCGGGGGCGGGGCCTATCTGAGCCTTCAAGGCCTATTTCCCAGCCCAGCCCAGACAGCTGCTTCAGCCTCTCTTGGAAAACGCCAGAATTGTTAGGGAAAGGTTCCGATAAATACAACCAGACAAAGGGAACAACGTGGGCTACAAAAGGCCGAGCAGGGGGGAGAGAAATCGAGTTAAGGGTGGCAAGATGGGTCCCTCGCAACTTTTCCTTGGATCATCTCTAATACAAGGACCAGGCTGCTACTTCTCTTTCAGTCCTGGAAAGCGGTGTGACAATGTGCGACGGCCACGTGCTCAAGCTTTGGGGCCTCAATGCCCCGCGCTGTGGAGTAGGAGGCAGAAGTGGACGAGAATCTGTGCTCCCCGACGGCCCTAGGACCTCCGATCTGGCTGTCCCCGCTGGTAGGGGACCCCGGGGCGGGGCGGGGCGGGGCGCCACGAGGATTTCATCATGCACTGGCTCGGCTTCCTCTTCCTCAGCCACGCCGGCGCGGTCGGCGCGGTCGCTTCCCTGACTCAGGGACGTGTTAGTCCGCACGGCCCCTCCGCGGGGACCCCACGCACGTAAACGCGGGACGCGCCACAGGTGCGGTGGCGCGCGGCTGGAGCAGGGGTTCGGTTCCCAGGCCCCATCCCAGGCAAAACCTGGGGTGCCTCTGGGAGCAGAGAGAAGCCTGGCAAGGGGCGTCTTCTGCAACGGAGACCGCTCAAGGCAGGCGCATTCCCGGACCGCGGGCCATGTCGACCCCACCCTACCCAGCTGGACCGGCGGCCGCACCCCGAGCGCCGGTCTGGATGCGCGGGGCAACGCCGCGGGACCTAACTGAGCAGTGTGCAGCCCGAGCTCCGACAGAGAACCCGCAGGCAGGCGGCCAAACCGAGCCCCTCGCTGCTTCCCCACGCCTTGGCCGCTCTTCCCCGTAGAGCCGCGATCGCAGACCCGCGCCTACCTCCCGGAGTGGTGCTGAAGAGCGTCCCGCCGGGCGTCGTGCTGTAG